TACCGCAGCCGTCAAAGCGTGAGTATCCCCTATGTTCCTACCCAGGAATACCAGCTTTTGAGCACTGCTCCCATGTGCCACGTCGTCCGCTTGTTTCGCAATGTCGGTGAGACCCAACTCGGGAATCAACTGGTCAACAAGAATGACGAATCCGATGGCGCTAATGAAACCTCGAAGAAAGGGTCGACTGAGGACGCTGTCGAGGAACCCAAGCCTAGCCAAACCAGCGGCGAAGATGATGGATCCTGCTATTGCGGTCACCAGGCCGCCAATTTCAGCGTTGAGCTCGGAATCATCATCGTGGGACTGTCCACTGTCGATGCATGTCTTGACCACCTGGCCAAGCAGCAAAGACCCTGCTGCCTCAGGTCCAACGACCATCTGGGGGCAAGTGCCCAAGAAAGCGTAGATCAATGGCTGAAAGACAAAGGAATAAAGTCCATTGATGGGTGGAACGTGTGCAAGGTTTGCGGCGAAAGACAGCGACATCGGGATGTAAAAGGACGCCATCGTGAGAGCAGCGACCAGATCACCCTGTAACCAGCTCCATCGATACTGCCCGACCCACTTGACGAACGGGAAGTAGTAGGAGAAGTACATGAACCGGTGACTCTTAATCCCGTGTCTTTCGGCCAGCCATCTGGTTGTGCCCAAGCTGTTTTTACCAGGTGTGAGCGTGTCGGTTACAGCCTCACCCAGGATGCCTCGCACCGGGTCTCGTGGACTCCCGTCCTCTGCGATATCGTCGGCGTATCGACCACCGAAGGAGATGCTGTTGCTCCCCTCGCTTTCGTCGACCGAAGGGGCTCGGGGAGAAAAGGTCCCATGATTGCAGTTCTTCAGACCACAAATGCGGCTGTGGTGATAATCCCCTAGCATATTGTTCCGAGCGTAGAGCGACTGCGACGAGGGTTCGACGAGTTCTCCTTGTACATCTTCCCCTTCTTCGTCCATTAAGGGCTCTGGTTCGGCGATGAGAGGCGTGTTTTCGTCGACCGTCAAGGTCGGCGGGGGGAGTTCTGGGCCGCGGTGATCACTTGAATCTCCCTCTGAGCTGGATCTTGCCATCCTGTCTTCTGGTGAGAGAATCGTGGTCTCCCGCAGCCGGCTGGGGATCAGAGGGACATATTGATCCGTGTCTGTGAATCGGACGCTCTGCTGAGACACCCGCCGGGGAGGAGTCGAAGGGTCAGAAGACCGAAGGCAGGATGATTTTGGGTCGGCCATCGTGGGGTCAATCAACGAGGAGAAGGGTACTCAGAAACTCCGCCAGTTTCATGTCATTTCGGGGAGGAAAGGCTCCAAGATGCACTCTTGGACTCGAGGGAAGGGCTTCCCAGGGGATGCAAGGAACAGAGGTAGAGGTGAGGGTAGTCGAGAGGAGATCAGAGCTGGTGTCTGAGAACGAATGGAATGCCGGGTTCCTGGTTTGCGAATGTGTTAGCAACAAGGGACTTCTGAAATGCGACCGGCAAGGCCATGCTTTGCTCGCGAACCCAATCAGATCGAACCAAATTGGCACGGAAGGAACTGACGTGGGTGGAATTTCAGATCACGCGGGGTTTGCGGCTCTTGTTTTTGGCGTACTCCAACTGCGCAGGCCAGAGGATACCAAAGGCCATTCCTATTCACGTGATTAACATTGTTCACGTGACTTCGGAATGAGGATTATCTCTGATCCGGAGCTGCGTACTCGGCCTCAACGACTGTGCAGTGCATGCAGTCAAGGAGAGAGGAGGTGCAATCACTACAGACTTGGAGAGGGCGCTGCTGTCAATGCTGTCACATCCTCGCTATCCACAATAAGCCCCGCCTCAACGTGGATGCGGGCGGATTTATGTATAACGGCAGAAGAGTCTGCAGATGCATGAGAATGTAGTCGACGAGCAGCATGTATGCTGATGAAGTGAAGAGAGATATGAATCTCGAGTTTTGGTCGCTGACCGAACCGTATTGCTTTCATTCTTTTGCTGGGAACTGTATAGGCTAACCACCACGCCCTGAAACTAAGGGTGGCAATCTACCTCGTCGACCCAGCTAGATCTGGTCGCAGGGGTTTACTGTGACAACTACCGGCGAAGTACAATGAAAGACCAGGATATAATGGCATCCGACTGACAGATGACCGTCAGTGCAGCACTTGGTGTCGCAACTCCTATGCGTATCCGTGCCCAGTCAGAATAATGTCCAACGCCAGCCAAATCCCCTCAGCACAACCTAGCTCTTGCAAGAAGAAATTGCCCTGCCCGGCACCTTGCGCTTCGAGGTTACCACATTTATACAGTGTACTCCTTTCTCTTCACAAACAACAATTTGCCTCTTCTGAGCGCAGGCTCGGAGACGTACCCAAGGGCGAGCGAGAGGCCAGAGCCGTCGAGGTGATTCGCATGAGCACGAGGAAGGGGTTCAAAACGGAGGATGGACGATCGTTGGCGCAAGCTCGAGGCCGTTGAACCAAGCAGATAAATCAATATCTTGAACAGGTACATAACGAACGTTCGCGTCATCAAGAGGGCAATTCAACAGATCTCACAGGTCAGAGCACGGTTGAAACTCATCTCCAAGCCATAGCGTATGGCCCGGAACATTGTCAGGCGTCTAGATCACCATCATACTGTGGCCTGACCTTGTTGTCGACAGGGGCTGTCCGCAAAGAACCAAAATGGTACAAAGCCTGCGGAAGTGAGGGGTGTGTTCGGCCAACCTTCCTTGTATTCAGTGTTTCTCCAAATCCGCCACGCTCGCTGTGCGTGCTGCCGCGTCCCTGCGGAGCGATAGTAACGAGAGGTTGTTGAAAGAAACTAGCAATACCTTTGCCTCATCATTGCCAGCAAACATCTCCCGGGACAGGGGTAGATGTCTCGGAACCAAGCTTGCAGTCGGGCCCCGAACAGAGAGACCAGGCCACGCACATTTCCAATACTCTCATCGAAGCCCACGAGCCGTTCCAATCGAACAGCGTGCCTTATAAACAAGTCACTCTCGTTCGCACGAATACAGTCGTTCCGGAACATCGAGGGATAAATTCCTTGCGTTTTTCTTCCAGCATACACAAATTCCAACCGAGGTTTCCGAATGGCAACTCGTCCGCAACGGTGACCATGGTCCTCAGTTGGCTGCGTTTGCAGGCACCCTCGTCAAGAACTTCTGTCTGCCCTGTAGGTTATTATCCGTATGACGCGTTGTACATATACTGACATCAGCATCATTCAGTGAAAGCTTCAAGAAGGCACACTCCACAATCTTCGCCTACACACCTGTCCGATCTCCAAAGTACACAGCCGCCTTCAGACACTCCCCAATGAGTAGCAACATTGCGAGGAGAATGTCTGACCCATGATCGTTACCGTTGTGTGATATCACGTACGTTTGATGACAAGGAGGCAGTGGAGCGCATTAGCCGTGATGGACAGGAGAGGGCACAAGACAATGACGGGAAATCCTTGAATCACGAACGTGGAATCTTCGCTTACCTAGGGGTCGCGCATATCATCCCTCGTCCATTGATGGCTATCGAGAGTAAAATGCCAGAGTTAATAAGTTAGCCTACCGCTTGACGCGATTCCCGGCTGAGCCAACTAAATCGAAGAGAACAGCTCTCGCGACCTCAATCTTGTTCGACGATGGTACCGACCAGCTGATTGACGGCACAAATATCGACAGTCCAGGCAACGCCATCACTTTGACCCACGATTTACATCCACTTTTCGGTGATTTTCAAGTCTTCTTTGAGCGCACAGAAAATAGATTACATTCGTACCGCATTGACTCAACTCCAGAGGACTTTTTCTGACATCCAATCTTCCCAGTCGATCGCACTGGTTTCTTGGCCGAGACACACGCGATCGATCCTCCCAATCTGTGATTGCTTGCAATTCAGAGCGCAATTACGCATATCCTTCATGTGAGCGCCGCCGGCCGCCACATCGATAGGATCCTCGGGGACTTTGACGGAACGGACATCAAGGCAGATAGATCTCCTGAGTTGTGATATCTCACTCATTTGAGACATCAGGGCTGGTAAAATGGTGGGGAGATTCGTGCTTGTTGATTTGCTCTGATCACGACGCAACGACCCATATGTATTGCAAGGGTGTAATCTGGTGATGACAATGTAACGATGTAACGAGCCCTCTGTTCTAGTCATGATTCGAGAGCTTGTCATCCGCACGGAATGAAGCATACTCTCAATCTCAAAGTCTGTCTCCACGCGGGCTTCTCTACCCTGGCTTCTGCCCACGTCGGGCCTGGACCATAGTGATCCATGACCTCGTTTCCGAACTGCATACTTCGCTTTCCGTGACCCTATACGAAGTGTCCACACTAGCGCCTTGGCACTCTTGGTCCAATCAGCGGTTAATCTGCCTATTGCCAAGCACCAAAGGAGGACTTCAGGTCAATGGATCACAGAGGCACATGGGTACCGGTACAACAGCCACCAGAAATCACTTGTATATATGTTTTCTCTCTCTAAATTCTGTCACGCAAAGACCCCCTTCTCCACAGCAAGGGCGAAAACCGAAGTTCCCACGAGTTCGAGTCCCGATCACGGCATATGTAATCTAGGTCCTGTCAGGTCAAACCTAACTCCGGGTTAGTGGGCATCAGGGCCTCGATTCCTCCCCCCGGTCCTCCCTACCTCCGACGACATCGACGACATCAACCACTGTAGTATAAAATTCGTAGTAAAACCGGTCGAGAAAAACCAACCCTGTAAAGGGCGAGTTTTCCTTGTCACAGACCAGCAGGTTGAGCTGTTCTGTGATAAGTTTTTTGCCATTTTACATCCTGTCAGAACAAGAGAGTCCCTGTCTGTCTCGGAATGACGTTATGGCGCTGCACAGGCCAAGTACGCGTGGTGAGGTTCACCAGTGGGGTATAGTCAGGCCCCTTTGGTATGTCCGACAGGCCACCACTGGCGCCTGGCGGTAAGCCTTAGTAGCATTATTTCAATGTTGGAATCATCAGGCTGAGCTCTTTACTCCGCATAATTGTGTGTAATGAAGACGACCTGGAGTCTCGATCATGATGTCCCTGCGTCACTCGTCTCCTCCCAAGCCTTCATTACACCCGATCTTGTTCATGAAATCCCGTCGACCGTCAAGCGCCCAGATTGGACACCGCACTCGTTGCCGGCCAGCCAGATTGATCTCTACATGGACCTGCCAGAGTCGAACGATGGATTCTGGATCGGAAAATGCCTTTCGGAGGAGCCCATGACGGAGAAGCCGTTCAGAAACCCGTCTGAAGATCCAATGCTGAGGCGCTTCAAGGCCTCTGACGAGGAGTTCGAATACCTCGAATTTCTGGGCAAGGGCGAACAGGGCATTGTCGTATCTGCTTCAATCAATGGCGTCCGATACGCCGTCAAATTTGTAGAGACTACGCTGCTCCTTGAGGATGAGGGATATCTCTGACATGGCCCTAGTACTTCCCCTATACTCGCAATCCTTGGTCGAGGCTGAAACCCAAATACGAGCATGTTCTTCTCGATCCGTTCGGCGGCGAAAGCCGAGCCTTTGCCCGGTTACAAGATATGGGCGAAGACGGCACATTTGCGGTCAAGTGCTATGGATGGATAAAGTTGACGGGCCCCCAGCTCGACGCCCTCCGCACCCGGTTCAGAATCTGGGAAGATCCCACTCCCTGGGCACTGGTCAAAGAACTGGTCGACACCACTGCTTCTGCAGATCAGCTCCCACTCATGATCAAGAATGTCGACATTGCAGAACAGTGTGAACTATATGTCCCAGATGTCCACCCTGGCAACTATGGAGGTGGGAAATTCTTAGATCTTGGGGTCGCAAAAGTCATGCCGTATCCTCGTCTCTACTGGCCGGCTCTCTGTTATGAAACTTTATTTGAGCGAACGCGAAACAGACTGCAGAAGTGGATTTTCCGTGGAGCCGAGTTCATTGAGCCTCAGGAGGGTTGACAGAGAGATCTAATTAGACCTGGCGGGGATTTTGAGGACATCAGGGGCTGGGATCCATCTCCTATTCCTGAAGAGCATCACTCAAAGCTTCAGATCACGGCTCGTTGGACCTCGATCGCAAGTGCAGCCGCAAGGAGCCCGCCGTCGTTGGTCGGAGTGGCCATCAGAGATCTATCCGTAGTAGGAATAGTAGACTATGCACGACAGCACACTCGGTCACAGCTCGAGGATCCCGTCATCGATAGAAGAGCCTCGCGAAGACGGTTGAGTCGAGGAGAACCTCAGGCGCTAAGCGAAAGAGGGAGTCAAAGGTCCAGGACACGACGTTGAACCCTTGGTGGGTTGCGAAACAGTGAAGGTGGCGCGGAGCCTTGGAGGGGAGGGGGTTCCGATCACGTGGATCGACCTTGATGGCGAAGTGAAGTAGCTCAGAGCCTGTCTCGCTCGGGCCTCTCTCAAAATGAATAGTATGCGAGTCTGTTGCCAGGCAAAGCTTGAAAAATGCACGCAGACGATACAGTGTCAGGATTTTGGGCGGTTTGATTTGGCGCGCCGCAGAGTCCTCGAGACACCGAGCCATAGTCTGATGGGATGCAGAAACGCATGTATTGTATATGCTAGCTAGGTCCGAAAACTCTTATTACGCCAGTCCACGTCTGCGACCACAATGCTCGTCTTTGGGCTGTGATCATTGCCAAGAAAAACGCAAGTAGCCTTACCATATCCCAAATTGAGGAAGCTTGGGCAACTTGGGCTGTTTTGTCAAGACATGGAGTGAATTATGGTCTTGTGAAGCCCTGCCTGTGTTCGCCAGCTCAAACGCACGGATTCTCTTGTTCATATTTCCCTCACCAGATATTCAGATAGTCCGCAATCGACACCACGTTCCGAATGATCAATGCCGCCGCTTGGATGGTTGCCAGCAGTATACACGCGAGCCATGCCAGCTCCGGTCTCGTCAAAAGGCCAGACCGTCTCCGGCGTCACCTCCTCCTGCAGCAGCAACCTCGCCTCGAGCAACGAGAAAAGTACCCGGAGATCGGTGATTCGCCTTGCACGAGGCTATCCGCCATGTCCTTGTTCCGTGTTGTGATCAGGAGCCATCTCGAGGCATCCAAAGTGCGAGGTAGGCACCGCAAGTAATTCATCGGAGGCCTTATCGGCGGGCTAGTCGGCCGTCCAAGTTCCCAGAAGGCATTTCCCAATATATACAATCCCTTTTTATGCACTTAAACGTCTCTTTTCAAATCCGCTCTCGGGGTTGCTGCGCGATAAAGAGGGTGCGGGGAGAGGAGGGAAGGAAGATCGGATGCCTCGTCGCAAGCTCGGCCGGAGGGTAGGTCACTGAGAAGGGCGCAGGGTGTAAAGCGTGATAGATCAATTGATTCGATTCGATGGCGCAACCGACGTCTTCACCACACGAGCGACAGCGCCGTAAGTCAGGGTGCGGCGCAGCGGGGAGCTGGGACGCCAGCAACGTCTGCGGTCACAGCAGGGATTGACCTTTGACTGTTCGACATGGTGTCTCGATTGCCGTACAGGACGGGTCAGGTCATGGACAAAGCACATGTCACACGTTTGCTTGCTTGCCTGCTTGATTGATTGAACATGTGCGGCGCGGCCAGGAACTTCGAAGGGGGTGTTGTCAATCATGAGGTCATGCTGAATTTCATGGCGAGGCTGCGAGTTTGTCAGCTTGTCGCGTCGCTGTGGCGCTAAGCCTCAACAGGCACAGCCTCGGCACGTTGCCACGTGACTTAAACCTGAAGCTCCCCTCAAGAATGGCCTCAAGGGCCAATCGTGAGCGACAACGACGACTCCCAAATCCTCCCACGCCCGCAGCAATGCCCTCCCTACAGGTAGCCAGGTAGGTGCCTTTTAGCAGCCGGTGACTGCATCGGATCGCATCCTCCAAGTCCGCACACGCCCGCGGCAATACCCTCCCTGGATCCCGGGCGCCCGTGACCGCATCGCACCGCATCCTCGAGGCACCACGTCTCCCTACCTCCCTACCCATCCGACGTTCCATTACACGAAGTCGAATGAAACCCCTCCTCTCCGCGAGGACCTCACAAAACAGAGGCTGGTTTTGGTCCCGGTGCTGCGACTGGTGCTCGTCATGTCAAACTCCGCACTCCCACTCCCGCTTCCACTCCCGCTTCCACTCCCTCCCGATCGAAAGGAAGACGAGACTCGAAGAACGGGAGAACATATACCGAAGAATACCTACCGAGTGAGTCCACAACGCAACACAAAACGAGCAAGCCCGGGGATGCTGCGGACGGCGGAGAATACGGAAGATACGGTAGACACATTATGCACTACACCGCAGGGTTGTGATTGTCGAGGGAGTGAGTTAGTGAGCAGTAGAGTATACAGAGCGAGGCGTCTAACAGAGACCCTACGAATGCTACGTCCTTCTTCGCCGCGGGTGGTTGGCTGGAGTTGAGAGCCACTTCGATGTGATCGCAGGTTGCCGCGTCGCCGTGAGACCGTGAGGCCATCTGTCGAGATAAGAATCAGGCTGTCGGACAATTACATCTGATATCTTGCAGAGAGAGACCAAGTGCTCAAGGCCAAGGTTGGTGCATTGGGTGCAATTGGCCGCACTTGACAAAGATCCGAGTCATGAAGCAGACATACATACAAGAACAAGTACACATACACATTCCAGCGTTCCGGAACCGGGAGACAGGGAGATAGATAATAGATTGAAGCAGAATGAGTACCCCAAGAAATGCACATCTATATCTCTGATGCCATGTCCATCATATCAATCCATAATGGCCGCTTCTTGAATGCATATCTTGGTTGAATCGAGACCTCGATACCACGATACTCCGTACCGAGGCATGGCGTACACATACACGTAGGTAGACCCAGACCTGTGCAATCCTGTACCCCCTCCCCCACCCACTGGAGGCCTTCACATCTTCACATCTTCACATCTGCGATAGTACCGGTACCGGTCCCAGCACCGAAAAACCACAAGTATATTAGTTTTCTCTCTCTAATTTCCACCACGCAAAGACCCCCTTTACGCACACACAACAAGGGCGAAAATTCACGATACCGAATCAAAAATACCGAGTTCGAATCCCGAAATCGATTAAAAAGTCGACATCAACCGCACTGTAGTATAAACTCCGTAGTAAAACCGGTCGGTCGGGGAAAAACCAACCCTGCCAAAACAGGGCGAGTTTTCCTTGTCACAGCCCCAGTAGGTTGAGCTGTTCTGTGATAAGTTTTTTGCTGCTGGGCCGAGCTGGGGAGCTGGGTGGCCGGCCTGGGAAAACATCTCCGGAGGATAAAATCTAACTTGGACCTGCGATACAGCGGTGTATGATGTACGCACATAACTTCAATTCAATTCAATTCCCATGCCGTCCCACCCCATGCGTACCCGCAAGCAAGGCTAAATGTATCTCAGATATATCTCGACGAGATTGATGAAACGCCTTCCAGGTCCCAGGGACGAATCCAAAAGGCACAAGTGCTCTATGATGCTGTATGGCCATGCATGCAATACCCACTCAAATAAATAGAACAAGTTGGCAGATCCCATCCAATGCAGTGTCACTCGTATCCTCGAGTCGATAACACAAACTTGTATATATATGTACAGGAGAATCGTGGTTGGAAAACGACAAAAGGCATCCGACATCCGGGACCGATCGACCGTAAAGGGGTATTGAAGTGAAGAAGCAGAAACACCCGGCTCATGAAACATTGCAACCATCGTGTGTATATCAAAACGCCTACGACAACATGACGAGGCTTCCGCAACAGAAAAGGGACAAGGACTCTCGAAAGTTTGCGAGCATCGACGACCAGTCTTTGTGGCCTTGCGGATTCCGCAGTGGGGGGGCAAAGTGTGTCGTCGCATCGTGGACATCGTAGCGGGAAGATTCAGGACTGCGCCTTTAGCCGACCTTCCAGGAAATCTCGCCGCACTCTGATCGGGTCGCGCTGAATTTCTCGACCCGCTCAGTCATCCAGCCCGACATGTACTCCTCTTTGGGGTCGACCGGCCGACCCATCCTGATAGAGTGGCTCAGTTTGCAGGTTCCGGGGTGCCAGGCAAATTGCATGCACTGCACATCCTTGTCGCAGACCACGCGGCAGTCCTCAAAGGACTCGACGGACTTCTTCTCGGCCTCCGAAAGGTCATCCCACATCTTTTGTTTCTCTTCATCATTCTTCCAATCCCAGTCGTTGTCTTCTTTGACATGGTCCTCCTTGGGCTCCGTAAATGTCTTGTCCGCAGCCAGGTTGTTCCAGTCCTTCTTCTCTTTGCTGATGTGGGGGCGGACAAAATCTTCAAAGACATCTTTGTAGAGGTAGGGAACGGCGCCGGGGTCTTCGTCGTCCCATGTCTTGTTGAGCCACTCCTTTTCAAACTGCCAGAGCGCTTCCACCTCGTACGAATGCACATGGTGCCAGGTGATTGCCGGAGTGCACCACACACCATCGGACCAGATGAAGCCGGAGGGAGGGTCGACTTGGAACATGGGCCAGGCACCGCTGACGCTGACTCCGGCTTGGTCCATGGCCACCCCCAGCATCACATCACCGCAGCAGATTGTAGAAGTCTCCTTTTCCCAATCAGCAATCTTTTCAGGTGTGCGAATGTCTTCGAATTTCTTGACCGCATTGCGGGATAACAGATAGCCTGTGCCACCTTGCGCAAACGCCGTAGGGCCATGCCAATAGACGCAGCCTGCGTAGAGCGGTTCGTCTGGATCCATGCGGTCGAGGAGAAGCAGGAGATTGGCCCAGCTGAGATATGTGTCGGCATCGATCGTGACAAACCATTCGGCATCAGGGTATTTCAGGTAGGCCTTGTGCAGCATGGGGATGTTTTTCCATTTATCCAGCGCCCAGGCCTTGTCGGATCCCAGCACGCTCACGTCGCCGTGCGCAACATGGGCCGCGTGGACCTCGTTGTAGAAGTGGAAGTCGTCGTGGTTTTCTCTGTACTCTTGTCCAATCTCGTCCAA